GTTTCATGGTGCAGTCACGCACTTCCTGGTCACAAAACGTTCTGTAAATGTGCATATTATGGCAAAAATTATTCATCATTAAATCTGGTTTTAACATTTTTTTATAGTTTGAAGTCCGTGCTGTCCAATCCAGCTCACTGTTTTTTACAGAAGCCCTGTGAAAGCATCACAGCTTTGYYGATCTCAGAGTGTTAAAAGAAAAAAAATTCCTGTATCTGCATCGTGATCCAGAACATCACCAAAATTTAAAGGTGTGTTCCTTGGCCCAGTACACAYGTAGTAAAAATGTCATGACAATTCGGGAAGGGGGGKTTCTGCTTGATAAAACACATTCTTCCACCCACGTAACACGATGAGGTGATGACGTCATCACCTGTGATGACGTAATGACGTATTTCCCTACGTGATGACATAACTCGTTCAAAGCCGAACGGCTCTTTTGAACGGTTCTATGAAACAAACAGCTCCYAAAGATCCGGATCCCTTCACAGAGCCGTTTATCCCATCAGTAGTTCTTCTCTCTGAGCTGTTGGATAAAAACCAACTCATCCAGGCTCAGAGGCAGTAAATCAGGACTGGAGGGGGGAGGATGTGTGACAGTTTACCTGTCTCTTGTCGTCCCTGCAGCCCAGCAAACAATGCAGCTGTCTCAGTGATAGAAGGTCTTCCTCAGCCCTCCTCACCCTCACATCCAGGGACGTCACCCTGGGAGTGGGGCTTGGGGGGGAGCWCTGGGCCTCTGGAGCTTCTTTTTATTATTATTTTGTGTGTTCGATGCTGGGAGTTCTAAAAAAGAAGACGGGACAACAAACGCACCCTGAAAATTGACTCTGAGGAGAAGTTTTGGAGTCTTTGTCCCGGTCCGGTTTCCTTTCCTCCCACTTCAGCAGGAAAGGACCTGGCAGCACAAGAAGGGGGGCAGCGCTCAGACAAAAGACCCGACTTCTGGCTCCACTTGTGAAACAAGGCTGCAGCCCCTTCGCTCTGCTCTCGCTCATTTACAGAGGGCCTCTTTTTGGCTCCGCTACACACAACCTGACTCAGAGCTCAGGGAGAGGGAGGGGGCCTCGGTCCTGGTGGTACCACCGAGACCTGCTGAACTTAAAGGTGGCAGGAAGAGAGGGTTGTTGGTGACATCATGATGCTACAGTTTCACACCCAGATGTGTTGGAGACAACCCAGCTGTTTATCCAGTCATTGTTTCCTCTTTCATCCAGTTGTACCTGAGATATTTTGCTAACACAAACACATTTCATGATGTTTGGTAATACATATATCAGACATCACAGTGCAGCGACACAATCATCTCTAATAAAGATAATCTGATTCTTTATYGTTCTCCTAATCCTCATGTTTCAACAAAGAGCTGAAGAGTTGTGTCTGTCGCTCCGGTCCAAGCTTYGATTTTCCCGCCTTCAGGGGTAACTTCAATCACCTGTAATCCCAGCAGGACCGAGGACCGAGACTTCACCAGGACTYCTCCAGGACCACTCCAGGACTCCTCCAGGACCGCTCCAGGACCCCTCCAGGACCCCTCCAGTCTCCGTGACAACAGACTCAATCAGAGTGAAGCAGCTGTAATTTCTGCCTGTCTGTAAAAACAACAACGTGCAGAGTTCTGCCGTGGCCCGCGGGCCCGGGGGTCCGGTTACACCTGGTTTCAKACTCAAACAGGAAGCTGCTGTAAAGCCATTAAAAGGAGAATAAGAGCTTYTAATTACTGTTTGTTTTATTTACAGCTTGTTTTAAGTCGATCCAAAAAGGAATTTCCTTCATTCCGTCCTGCTGCTGTCAGAAGAGGTTGAATATTTAATATAATTATATAACTGATCCCAGCTCATGTTGTCAGAAGCACAGAGTTCTGTTCTGCAGAACCAGAACCATCATTGCTTTAACTTCTGACCTCAAATATCTCTTTGTAACACACAGTAAATAAATACAGACAACACAAATAGTTTAACTCTGTATTTTACCACTTTGTTGCAATTAGTGAAAATATGAGTCACTCAACATTTTGTTTGATGTCTGGAGGTCTTTGCAGGACCCCCAGCTTGGATTGCTCTGATCCACAGTGGGGTCTCAAACCACAGCCTCTCTGTCACACTTTGCTTTCTGCTGGATTTAGAATTGATTTGAGAAAACGTGACTAAATGAGGCTGACGCTATATTGCCTTATATGTATTAGCTCGGCGCTAGCGCGACAAGCTAAAAAGCTAACCTGTTGTCCTCCATCCATATTTTCAGTTCCAGGC